TGTGATGTGGTCAGGCAAGCCGGGTAGGTAACAGCGAGGCAGACGGTACAGATCGGTAGACAAAGAGTAATCGGGTCACAAGCTGGGTTCGGTAACAGCAGGTCAGACAAAAGGAGCAGGCAGAGGATGGTCAGGGCGAGCCAAAGGTCAGGGCAGGAGAAGACAGCGGTATCAGGTCCAGGCAGGGTCAGCAACAAGGCAATCAGCATACAGGAAGAGCAGGAACACAGGAACAGGGAGAAGACCATCAGGCAACTTGTGTCTGTGCAGAGCTGGTTTAAGTAGCCCGCCCGGTGCTGACAGGCGCGCCTGGGTCCTAGTGCCCGCCTGCCAACATGTCTTGTCGGACACCTACGCATGTGCAGACTCATGCGTCGCGGTGGTCCCTGACAGCCCCACTCAGGATATAGAGGAGAAACAAAGACACTTTTGGACAGCAGCATTGTCAGTCTGTGGGGGAGCATTAGAAATACTAGCAGATTTAGATACACTAACAGAGGGCTTGAAAAAGCCGATCGCCCGCTCGCCAAATGCGAGGAGAAATTCCTCTGTGACGAGCGGCGAGCGGCTGCGAGCGGTGAGCACAGATGAAGCTTGGAGTGACTGCACCTGCGCTCCAAGCCTCATTGTGAAGTTCCGGTATACAACTTCCGGTTTCCGGCTTCTGCGGCACCGCCGAGGGGACAAGTGCAGGAGAGGTCCGCTCTCCTCCACTGAGAAGAGACACCCTCTCCACCGCCGCGAGGGACTGTAAGTACTGTATACAACATGTCACTATAATGGAGTACAGGGGAGCTGGGATATACATTACTGAGTACAGTTTTATATTTCAGACTATTTATTCTAAAGAAATTTTTAATTTCATAAGCTTTAAGGGGGTGTGGTTGGGGGTGGACTGGGGTTGGGGGCGGACCTGGGCAAGGTTGGGTGTGGCAACTGGGTCGAGTAAGTTTTGTGACCGGCTAGTAGGTCTGGACTCGAAATTTGAACCCCTACACAAGCCAAACACTTTTACATCAACCAATTTTTTTCTGGGGGGGATGTTTTTACATAAATGAATAAAAGCTGTTCATTATAAGCACCCCTATTAGTGGTAAAGGATTTGTCTCAACCATCTAACTGCTACATATGCAGGACAGCTTGATCTGTTTGAAAAACAACTGGCTAGATCAGGTGAAAATAAAGAAAGAAAAAGCCTAAAAAAGAAAACGAATACAGCCACTGCTTCCAGGAATTGGTAAGCTGCAAGAAATTAAATAAATGTTTTTGGGTTTAATGCCTCCTTAGTGTTTGGTTAGGATTAGAATGTGCTGCCTGTACTGATATTTTCCCCAATCATTAGAACTTTCAGAGAAGGAGAATTGTTGTAAAGCTGGATTTGTCTTCATAATCCTAGATGCTCCTCAATTCACCGTAAGACAAATTGTCTACAAATACGATAAATTCAATACTCTTGCCACCTTGCTAAAAGTAGGAGTCCTACAAAGATCGCAGCAAGGATAGAGATAAGAAGCCAGCTCATGGAAGGACATATGAACGGAGCCACTGGCCCTTTGCAATAACTATTTCATCATGTGAAAAAGTTCCACAGTGTTTGTAGGATTATACCCTGTGGCAGGGCCATCTGCACATTATTACCACTCACTGATTGGTTGCTAGTGGTTATTGCACATCCTTACCGCTCACTGATAGGATCTGCAATAACCTCTAGCAACCAATCAGTGAGCGGTAAGGATGTGCAATAACCACTATCAACCAATCAGTGAGTGGTAATAATGTGCAGTAACCCCTAGCAGCCAATCAGTGACCAGTAAGGATCTGCAGTAACCTCTAGTAACCAATCAGTGAGCGGTAAGGATGTGCAGTAACCTCTAGAAACCAATCAGTGAGCAGTAATGATGTGCAGTAACCTCTAGCAACCAATCAGCAAGCAGAAATTATGTGCTGTAATTTCTAGCAACTAATCAGTGAGCCGTAATGTGTGCTGCAACCTCTAGCAACAAGTCACTGAGTGGTAATGATATACTGTTACCTCCGGCAACCAATCGCAATCATTGCCTGATCTGCTGCAGTAAACTGATTTTGAGTTTAGCTGCTATTTATTGTATGTCTCAGAGCAAGTGGAGAGCAAAATTGCGTGTGGGTGGGGGGGGGGGGGTTGTGCAAGAAAATGTTGGCCTAGGGTCCAATAGATATTAAAGGTGGCCCTGTCCTAGTTTTGTCTAGTACATTTTTGGGGTTTTGCATGGAATGTGTCAAATTTGGCTTTTTTTTCTCTACTTTTTTGTGTCATACCAATACAAACCAAAGAAATAAACATGAGAATGCCGAAACCTTTGTAATTGCAACAATATTCTGGGCAAAGTGGTGCGTTATCTGACAGAAATGCAGGGGTGCCAATATTTTTGGCCATGACTGTATATAGGCAAGTAATGCCATTAATAATCAAAATGGTAAGATAGATATATATATATATATATATATATATATATACTGTATATTTGCATTTTCTTGTCCTCGAATCTGTAGGACCTGGGCAGTAGGAAGGACTGTTCTTTTACTTTCAGTAATTCTGTCTTGCTGTGCACTTTAATGACAGTGATTCTCCCTGGAAGACCCGTAGTGTATGCCTATCCTTCCCTGCAGATGGTGCTGCACGTGATGTAGGCAGCTCTATAGGGGTATTGAATTAAACTTCAAGGAGGTCCGGTAACTTAACTTTTCTTCTGGCCGAGGTCCGAACAGGGTGTGTCCATCAGTGTGCCCCCTTACATTAGGTGTCGCCTTCAGAGTGCAACTTTACATAATGCATTCCCATCACATCAGGTGTGCCCATCAGAGTGCCCGTTTACATCAGATATCCCCATTACATTGCCACCTTACATCAGATATCCCCATTACAGTGCCACCTTACATCAGATATCCCAATTACAGTGCCACCTTACATCAGATATCCCCATTACAGTGCCACCCTACATCAGATATCCCATTACAGTGCCACCTTACATCAGATATCCCCATTACAGTGCCACCTTACATCAGATATCCCCATTACAGTGCCACCCTACATCAGATATCCCCATTACATTGCCACCTTACATCAGATATCCCCATTACAGTGCCACCCTACATCAGATATCCCCATTACATTGCCACCTTACATCAGATATCCCCATTACAGTGCCACCCTACATCAGATATCCCCATTACAGTGCCACCCTACATCAGATATCCCCATTACAGTGCCACCTTACATCAGATATCCCCATTACAGTGCCACCCTACATCAGATATCCCCATTACAGTGCCACCTTACATCAGATATCCCCATTACAGTGCCACCCTACATCAGATATCCCCATTACAGTGCCCCCTACATCAGATATCCCCATTACAGTGCCACCTTACATCAGATATCCCCATTACAGTGCCACCCTACATCAGATATCCCCATTACAGTGCCACCTTACATCAGATATCCCCATTACAGTGCCACCCTACATCAGGTATTGCCGTCAGGGCAGTGTACAGGGGTTAGCATGGCAGAGGACAGGGGTCAACAGGACAGAAGATAGGGGTCAGCAGTGCAGAAGATAGGGGTTAGCATGGCAGAAGACAGGGGTCAACAGGACAGAAGATAGGGGTCAGCAGTGCAGAAGATAGGGGTCAGCAACGCATGAAGATAGGGGTCAGCAGTGCAGAAGATAGGGGTCAGCAGTGCAGAAGATAGGGGTCAGCAGCGCACAGGACAGGGGTCAGCAGGGCAGAGTACAGGAGTCAGTATGGCAGAAGACAGCGGTCAGCAGAGTTGAGGACAGGGTCACTGTTGGCAGGGCACTTAAGAGAACTCCTACTCCCTGGACAGCACATAGCTGAGATCGGTATATCTCCACACAGTGTGTAGCCGGCTACTGCAGCTGCCAATCCAATCAGGGAATTTCACAGGTCAGAACAGCAATTGCAGCCAGCTACACATTGTGCAGATCAATGCTGTGGGGAATCTGATCTCAGCCATGTGTTATGTGTAGGGAGGAGATCTGTTGAGTGCAGACAGTGCTAGGACAAGGTCGTCTAGCACTCAAGGTGAAGGTGACAAACGGCGCCGCCCCCCCCCCAAAAAAAAAAACCCCCAGCACTAATCAACACGCTCACCCCCTAAGCATAAACTCCTTCTGCCATGCCAAATTCTACCCAAACAAAAATGCAAAAATTCCCCATCCTCACAGTCCAAACCCCCCTTCCAGCTCAAATCCCCCATCCCTAACAAATCTTCCATGCCCAAAAAATCACCCCTCCTAGTACACATCCTCCCCCCCAAATCCCCCCTCCTAGTACAAATTCTCCCCCAAAATCCCCCCTCCTAGCACCCCTTGCTGAAGGATGCTTGTGTACAGGCAGGGAGTGGGAGCCGGAGAAAGAGAGCTGCAAGGGGCAGGGCGCACACATGATGTCCTGATGCTGTGATGACCACCCTGCTCAGCGGCATATTTGTCATTGAGGGTTGGTGGTCCAGAAGGAAGCGCTGCTGGGACAGTTCTCGCACCGCGAACCGTTTATTTTAAGGTAATGCACTAGGCCCGTGTACCCTCTTTTTCTCTTTTCATATACAGTTCTCTTGGGATTTCTCTGGTCCGTTGAGGGTAGCAAGGCTTGCATTCCATTCATACACATGTGGGGATATTGACATTGCAGAGTCCATTGTCCAGTGCAGGAGGTCAGGCATTTGGTTGCTTTTTTCTTCCTACCAGACTACTTAGCATGTGTCTATCAGCAACGTGGACAACTGAGTGCAAGGCCTTAGGACCCTGGTGCTCAACCTGCAGCCCAAGGGCCGCATTCAGCCCTTTGGTATTGGATGTGTGTTCCTCGGACCTCAGCAGGCTAGGAACATTAATTAAGGTAATAGCATCTCTACTATACCAAACATGTTCCCAGTTAGGTGTTGTCTTCTACAGCATATCCCCAACCAACAATGTATCCTCTGCCTTGACTATTGTAACTCCCTCCTCATTGGCCTACCTCATCACAGGCTATCCCCTCTTCAGTCTATCATGAATGCTGCTGCCAGACTCATCCACCTTACTAACCGTTCCGTATCTGCCACCCCTCTCTGCCAATCCCTCCACTGGCCTCCACTCAGTGTCCTGCACCCCTCTCTACCAATCCCTGAACTGGCCTCCACTCAGTGTCCTCCACCCCTCTCTGCCAATCCCTCCACTGGCCTCCACTCAGTGTCCTCCACCCCTCTCTGCCAATCTCTCCAATAGCCTCCACTCGGTGTCCTCCACCCCTCTCTACCAATCCCTGAACTGGCCTCCACTCAGTGTCCTCCATCCTTCTCTGCCAATCCCTCCACTGGACTCCACTCAGTGTCCTCCACCCTCTCTGCCAATCTCTCCACTGGCCTCCACTCAGTGTCCTCCACCCCTCTCTGCCAATCCCTCCTCTCTGGCCTTTACTCAGTATCCTCCACCCCTCTCTGCCAATCCCTCCACTGTCCTCCACTCAGTGTCCTCCACCCCTCTCTGCCAATCCCTCCACTGGCTTCCCATTGCCCAACGGATAAAATTCAAAACATTGACAACAACATATAAAGCCATTTATAACTCTGCCCCAAATTGCATCTCCAATCTTGTCTCCAAATATCACCCAAAACGTCCTCTCCGCTCTTCGCACAACCTCCTGCTCTCTAGCTCCTTCATCTCCTCCTCTCACGCTCGTCTCCAGGACTTCTCCAGAGCTTCCCCCATCCTCTGGAACTCTCTACCCCAATGTATCAGGCTATTGCCTACTCTGCTCTCTTTTAGGCGATCTCTGAAAACCTATCTCTTCAGGGAAGCCTATCCTGCCCTCAGCTAATAATGGAATCTTCTACTCCTCCGACCAGTCCATCCCCCACAGTTACTACCTTTTGTACTACTAGCCCCTCCCTCATAGATTGTAAGCTCCAAGGATCAGGCCCTCCTAACCCTCTTGTATTGAACTGTATTGTTGCTGTATTGTCTGTATTGTAAAGTGCTGAGCAAACTGCTGGTGCTATATAAATCCTGTATAATAATAATAATCCTGTCTACACCCTTTGCTCTATTAGGTCTGCAGTTTCTGACAGTTCTCTCAAGCATTACATACTTTGAGCAATATGTGTGGCCCTTTAGTGATGTCAGGGGCCACATTCGAGGCTACCTTTAGCTCATAAATTGACAACCACTCCTTTATTAGAAACCTCCATTGACATACCTGATCTGGCTCCCCTCCCACAGTGTCACTAACCATTGTGGGAATGTCATAGCTTGGTAAAAAAAAAATAAATTAGCTGCTTTATTCAAAAAAGCTTTATCCCCCTAATTTTTCTTGTTTTGTTAATAATATTTAGACCAGGGGCGGACTGACCATTTGGAAACTCGGGCACTGCCCGAGGGCCCGGGGTCAGTAGGGGCCCCATGAGATGCCCCTGGTACCTTTTTCATAGGCTTTTTTGAGTTTGGGCAAGGACACAGGGGCCCCATGATCCCCTATTGCCCGGGGGCCCCATGAGTTGTCAGTCCGTCCCTGATTTGGACTGTGTTGACAATTCCTCTTAGTATACCAGTTGGCATACTTTCACCAATACGCACAGAGCATATAGATGTATCTAAGCCCACAACTCCAGACGTGAGCCGACTTTTAGACACATAGCCGAAAGTACAAGTCAAACATCTCCACTGCTAAGCCGACCTGCAAAGCCTCATGGCTATCTGTGGAAATGGAAGTGACGGTAGCCTGCAAAATGCCATTTTATAGCTAGTTAAGAAAGAAAACATCCTACCTCATCCAGTGATTTCATACAAATCAGCTTCTGTGGTAAGTAAAATATACAACCACATATAATGCCCACATATTAAACATTTCTTTCAAGCTGAGGTTTGATTCTTGTGTAGATTGGCCGGGTTATGCTTGCATGGTAAAATACACCTCCAAATACAACATTTAATATGTTAATTACGGCTCCTTTTCCTCTGTGGAAACCCAACTATGTGATTACATTCTCGGGGCCACTCGAAAAATTTGAAATAACATTATTCAAATAGTGCCTCACAAAGGGCAGGGATGACAAAATATGTTATTGAAATGCACTGCTCTGGACCACTTAAAGGAGACCTGCAGAAGGAGAAATATGGAAGCTGTTATGGTCCAATAATTCAGTTCTTCTTCAAAGGCGACCTGCATTGAGACCGACCATTGCCAACTTCTGAAAATACCATTTGCCCTATCACTTTGCTCATTTGTTGGCCCTTAAACATTCATGCAACCGGTGCCTGTGTGCACCTGAGCAGGGGCGACTGACTGAGTAGGGGATCATGGGGATCATGAGGTCCTTGCTCAAACTCAAAAAAGTCTATGAAAAAGGTACCAGAGGCATCTCATGGGGCCCCTACTGACCCCTGGCCCTCGGGCAGTGCCCGAGTTTCCAAATGGTCAGTGCGCCCCGGCACCTGAGCCTCATAGTTATTCCAACCCAATGATTCAGAAAGTAGTAAAGCCACTGCAACAGTGAGGCAAGTAACATATCACATCTGCGTACCGCAATTTTGAGTATTTTTTGGAGAATTTTGTCTCCCATTTTTGTACAGCGTTTTTGAGCTTTGGCATTTTTTAATAGTCAAGAGAGAAAAATATCATCTGTTTCATCATTTGTTGCTAAGTTTTCAGCTCTTTTAGCCTTTCAATCAGCTTTTATTTAATTATTTTAATTATTTTAATAATATTCTTTTTTTTTTTGTTATGGGAAGGGGTTAGAGTTAAGGTTAGGTGTTTTGGGTTAGGGGGTTACAGTTAGGGTTTAGGTTTTGGATTAGAGTTAGAATTAGGGGTAAAGTTTAGGGTTGAAAGTTAGAATTAGGGGTCAGGTGTTGGAGTTAGGGGTTAATATGTTTATATTATTATTATTATTACTGATTTGTTATTTATTTTATGATAGGGTTAAGGTGTTAATTCATTGCATTATTATTATTATTATTACTGATTTATTCATGTTAATTCATTACATTATTATTATTATTATTATTATTATTATTATTAATAATCATTTATTTATTTTACAGTTAGGGGGTTAAGGTTAGGGAGTACATTTTATTTATTTACTTATTAATTATACATTGTTATTTGATTTATTTATTAATGGTTATTTTCATTTATTTGCTTTTTTAATTTATTTGTTTAAAAATGTATTGTAAATTATTATTATTACTATTATTCATTTTTTTTTTTCATTTGAGCAAAAAAAAAACTCTCCAAAAACGTCCAAAACGCGCAAAAACCTGTAGAAGAAGAAATATGGAAGCTGTTATGGTCCAAAATTCAGTTCTTCTTCAAAGGCGACCTGCATTGAGACCGACCATTGCCAACTTCTGAAAATACCATTTGCATTATCGCTTTGCTCGTTTGTTGGCCCTTAAACAGTCATGCAACCGGTGCCTGTGTGCACCCAATCCTCATAGTTCCAACCCAATGATTCAGAAAGTAGTAAAACCACTGCAACAGTGAGGCAAGTAGCATTTCACACCTGAGTGCTGCGTTTTGGAATATTTTTTTGGGCATTTTGTCTCCCATTTTTGTATGACGTTTTTAAAGAGTTTTTGAGCTTTGGCATTTTTTTAATAGCCAACAGAGTGAAATATCATCTGTTTCATCATTTGTTGCTAGGTTTTTCAGCTCTTTCAGCTTTTCCATCAGCTTTTATTTAATTTTTTTTTAATATTATTTTTTTTTGTTATGGTAAGGGGTTAGGGTTCAAGGTTAGGGTTACGGTTAGGGGTAACGTTTAGGGTTGGAAGTTAGACTTAGGGGTTAGGTGTTGGGGTTAGTGGTTAATATTTAATTTATTGTATTCTTCTTTTTATTATTATTTTTACTGATTTATTATTTAGATTTATTTTATGTTAGGGTTAGGCTGTTAATTAATTACATTATTATTATTACTATTATTAATCATTTATTTATTTTATAGTTTATAATACATAAGGGGGGGGGGGAATGATCTCCATGTATAATACATAAGGGGGATATGATCTCTATGTATAAAATATAAGGAGGATAGGATCTCCATGTATAATACATAAGGGGGGATATGATCTCCATGTATAATACATAAGGGGGGATATGATCTCCATGTATAATACATAAGGGGGGATATGATCTCCATGTATAATACATAAGGGGGGATATGATCTCCATGTATAATACATAAGGGGGGATAGGATCTCCATGTATAATACATAAGGGGGGATATGATCTCCATATATAATACATAAGGGGGGGATATGATCTCCATGTATAATACACAAGGGGGATATGATCTCCATGTATAATACATAAGGGGGGATATGATCACCATGTATAATACATAAGGGGGGATATGATCTCCATGTATATAATACATAAGGGGGATATGATCACCATGTATAATACATAAGGGGGGATATGATCTCCATGTATAATACATAAGGGGGGGATATGATCTCCATGTATAATACATAAGGGGGATATGATCTCCATGTATAATACATAAGGGGGGATATGATTCTCCATGTATAATACATAAGGGGGGATATGATCTCCATGTATAATACATAAGGGGGATATGATCTCCATGTATAATACATAAGGGGGGGGATATGATCTCCATGTATAATACATAAGGGGGGGATATGATCTCCATGTATAATACATAAGGGGGATATGATCTCCATGTATAATACATATGGGTGGATATGATCTCCATGTATAATACACAAGGGGGATATGATCACCATGTATAATACATAAGGGGGGATATGATCTCCATGTATAATACATAAGGGGGGATATGATCACCATGTATAATACATAAGGGGGGATATGATCTCCATGTATAATACATAAGGGGGGATATGATCTCCATGTATAATACATAAGGGGGATATGATCACCATGTATAATACATAAGGGGGATATGATCTCCATGTATAATACATAAGGGGGGGATATGATCTCCATGTATAATACATAAGGGGGGATATGATCTCCATGTATAATACATAAGGGGGGATATGATCTCCATGTATAATACATAAGGGGGGATATGATCTCCATGTATAATACATAAGGGGGGATATGATCTCCATGTATTATACATAAGGGGGGATATGATCTCCATGTATAATACATCAGGGGGGGATATCATCTCCATGTATAATACATCAGGGGGGGATATGATCTCCATGTATAATACATAAGGGGGGATATGATCTCCATGTATAATACATAAGGGGGGATATGATCTCCATGTATAATACATAAGGGGGGATATGATCTCCATGTATAATCATAAGGGGGGATATGATCTCCATGTATAATACATCAGGGGGGGATATGATCTCCATGTATAATACATCAGGGGGGGATATGATCTCCAT